CTACCAGTATCAGCCATATAAAGGTTGTTGGATAGACGTTCCACAAATAGACCATAAACTGTACCAATCTGACTAGCAGTGTTACCACCAGGAGTACTATAGTAGTTCGGAACGTTGGGGGCTGTAGTCGGTGCAATGCGTATACCATCTGTGGAATTGCTGCCATATTGATATTTGTAAACTTGAGCTGCACTATTACTAGCGTAAACATTATTATTTGAATCTACTGCAACACCATAAAATCCGTATGATGTGTCGTAAGCTACGGTTGTTACTGTGTTACTGTACGTAGCGGCCGTACATACGAAAGGTGATCTCGTAGCTATAAAATGAAGGTAAGATTAATAGTGTTAACGATACAAAGAAGCAGGATATTTCATCAGTTGGATTATGCATAGAAGTTTTTTTTTGAAATACACAATGAGACGCCCTGCATCACAGTTTTCCTTCATTATAGGTTTTACGCAGACTGAACAAAATAAATTAATCGTTCGAAAAATCGATTTGTGCTTTGTGCACATTTCACAACATGACTGTAGGGGAGCCGAGATGAGAATCGGAAGCGAGTTGTAGTGGGTTTGAGCAGCTTTTGGTGTATGTGCTGGGTTGAGTACGTATCTTTGAGTAGAGAATGTCTTGGTTTATACACTTAATGGCAGCTTTCGCACTCTAGCCCAAACTTTACATTTTATCCTCTTTGTGAGATGAGAATCATATTTATCTGAATGCATGTAGCACTACAGCATCCAAGAACATAGTTAATGATAAATTCAGTCAGTATCGCAAACACATATGTTCTGAAGTTTAGCTTTGATAGTGTGTTTATAATAAAAAACATATAAGATTGTATTGTAAGAATGCAATGTGGTCAAAGTTAGTAGTTTAGTTAAATGATTTGTTTGGAGAAAGCGTGTTATTGTGAAGTTTAGGAAAAATCAAAATAAATAGAAAAAATGTGCATAATTTCGTGTTATCTCTCGCTCGTGTATCGAGGGTGGCCGGTGAGAGGGTATAGATCTACGTAACTGTAACACACTAGTTCATGCTCAGTGGTAACTAGACTAGAGCACGATCAAACTTGCAGCTCCTCAGTACAGATCTTGACATAAAAAGTACAGAAATGTATTGAAAGATGCACAAACATACTTTGATAAGTGCTCCGTTAAGGCTCATGCTTAGTGTTTTTAACATTGAACCATTCTATATTTTATAGAATCTGTAACAAGTTACAATGCTAGATATCAAGCATATAGCTCATCACTAAACTATGTCAGCTAGCATATGCGAATCATTTTAGAATTTTCTCGTTATGTTCAGCAAAAATTAGAAAGGATATTCCTGCTATCCTTAAAATAGCCCACGTATTTGGCTTTCGAACTACGTGGTCACGATAATCTAAGTCTTTCAAAGTTTTCATGATTTTAGTCCTTCAATATATATATCATCAATATATCTTTTCATAGAAGCTATACAAATATATATGTGAGCATTCATCTATGCTCATATATATGGAGGTTTCAGTAAATATATTACACCATTCTTCAGACATGAATGAACAGTATATTAATAATTTATATTACCACTGTTTTCGTCAACATAAATGAACGATTAGCCCAAGGGAGAAAAAGAATATTCCGTCTATTGAAGGCACGGTAATCATCTTGTAGCGCGATTTGGATGTGAATGCGACAAAGTACGAATGAGAACGAATGCTTTATGTTTTACAAGAACAACACTAATGTCAAGCATATTCACATTCCGATTTGCAAAGTTCAGTTGAATTCGGCTTTCATTATACTAATTGTCTCAAAACTGATTTGAGTTTAAATTTCTACTAAAGAAATACGGCAATAGCATATTCATAGAACTCAACTGAAAATAAATAGAATACAAATATTTGAACACTCGGAAGCAGAAACAAAATCAACAGTTGACAAATGTTCTGTTTTCTTACCAATATCAACTATTAACATTCTGCGGAAAAACTTATATCATTTCTAATGTGGAAAATATATTTTGCTTTCAACAACACAAAATTATTTGACAGACCGAAAACATTAAGATTATTTAAAACAATCGCCAGCTGATTCAAATTTTGCCATTTAATCTATTTATAAATCTTTCTTTTTTCCACTTCAAAACATCATATCAACTTTTATCATTAAGTTCTATGAAAGTTAGTATTCTTACGAGGGAACATATCAATGTGTCGGATACCATTCGAGCCCATATTTTGGCTACGAGTAGGACTTAGTGAGATTAAGAAAACTATAAAAGAGTTCGAGCCTATGGCATGTTCCTAGTGAGATATCAAGCTTTTAATGAATTTTCGCTATAGCTCCCACTTATGCAGCAAAGCTATACTGTTGATTTTTGGGTTGAAACTTTGCCCGCATAAGGGCCTCGGATAGACTAGCTTGCATGAAAAATTTCAGAAGTTTTGAACAAAGTCTTTTTGAGATACCAAAGTTTCTAAAAATGCATGGCATAACTGCTATCTACGACAAAAGATCTATATCTTGATAGTTCTATATCTCAGAGAGACTGTTCAAAACTTCTGAAATTTTTTATTCAAGCTACTCTAGCCGAGGCCCTTATGTGGGAAAAATTTCAACCCCAAACTGAAAAGTATAGCTTTGTCGCAAAAGTGGGGTGCTATAGCGAAAATTCATTCAAAACTTGATATCTCACCAGGAACGTGCCGTAGGCTCGAACGCTTTTAGAGTTTTCTTAATTTGACTAAGTCCTACTCGTAGCCAAAATATGGGCTAGAACGGTATCCGACACTTCGATATGTTTCCTCTGTAATTTTCAAAGAAGATGCAGCGCACATCGTCCGATAGCTTCAAACTTAAGTAAACGGCTGAAACTCGCATCTTTGAAATACAATTGAAATCAAGTTTCAAGTTTCAGTACTATGATTAATTGCTAGAGAATTTCATTATAGATACAGCCCTAAAATTCTAACAAAAATGATTTTCGAAAAGACTATTCATATTTGACAGAAAAAAGAGCATTCAACAACAATGATTTTTAAAACAAATTAAAATATGAAATGTGCACATTCTGAAAAGTAAGAAATTTTTCTATAACATCCAATTAAAATATAGCATACTTTACACCAGCACAGAGTAATTTTTCAAGGCTCCTTACAAAAGAATCAAAAGATATTAGTCTTGAATGAAACATTGGCTCTGTGACATCATCGTACGGTATTTTATAAAACACCATCAACTAGTGAAAATTCTAATGTTTTTCATGAAATCCTTCACTAATCGTTATGAAACTAAGGTTTCGTCGATTTGTATGGTGTATTATAAGATTTGTAAAGAATCACACAACTGAAGAATTTACCATGATTTATATTTCTTTTTTTTATAACACTTACTATTTCTCAGTTTCGACCGAAGAATTGCCAGTGAGTTCACAGAGATTCAGCTCGCATTTATGCAAAACATTATCCCAAATTAGGAAATTATATCAGTCCACAAATCTAACTGCAAAAATATGACCTCTTCATGGAAGGCTAGATACCCATGCATATGATACAACAGTTTTTTGACACCTTAGGAACCCACTTTCTATCAGACACGTATCGCTTCATACTTTTTCTTTCTATCTAATAGTGAGAGATCACGACAACTTACTAGTGGTAGTTCTTGCAGTAGTTGTTCCAGTTCTACCTAGAAAAAGTCATATAGAAAAACATAAAAAAATGAGAAATGAATGCATTGTTCATCACTATTTCACTATAGCTCAGAATGCTACTTACTTCCACATACACTTGTACTAATCATTGATATCATTTGCACACGCCTTCCACCAAAGTCAGTAACGTAAAGATTGCCAGATGTATCCATTACCATACCAAAAGAACCAATGCTAACAGCATTATTGTATGAACCATCGAATATTGTTATACCATACGTAGCTCCTGGTGGCCATTGTTGAATTCGTTGATTTCCAGAGTCGAATATAAACAAATTCCCATTTCCATCAATAATGATCGATGTTGGATAGTTTAGTTGTACAGAATATGGAC